CATCGTGAACAATATCTCTATGCCATCATCCCTCAGATCGTCATCTCCAATCCTCCTCTTCATCGTCTTCATCTTCATATGTCACCGTTGCTACCACCTTGATCTACCATCACTGCTGCCCTTTATTGACCTTGTTGCCTGCTGTCACTGCCGCCAATTTGATCAGATCAGATCTGATTTCTTAATATGGTTGAAAAAATTCAGATCCGATCTAACTTGATGATAAGTGCTCACTATTTTTTTCTAATTTCTGGCAGATTTGATGATTTTTCTAGCTGATTTATGGTATTTTAGCTTATTTTTGGTTGAATTTTATGGTTGATTTTATTAGATCCGAGATGTGGTTGTTGATTTCTCAATATTTCGTTGGCTAAGATGTCAGATATCACGAGCTCTTCAACCCCTTCTAATTCTCTTATTGTTATGGAGACATCTAGTCCTAAAACTATTTTGGAAACCACTATGAAACTAAATGGATCTAATTATTTATTATGGGCATAAGCATTCAGAATATTTATTGGTGCTCAAAATAAATTGAAGCATCTTTTGGAGAATCCACTTGCTTCTACAGACTCTAAGTACAAGACCTAGCTTTTTGGAGATTACCTCGTTATGACTTGGCTCCTCAACAGTATGGAAGAAAAGGTCAGTAGTAGTATTATATTCTTATATGCTACCAAGGAAATGTGAGACACTCTCAAGATGATGTATGAGAAGGAGAAGAATGTGTCTAGAGTTTATAAGATATATGAGCGACTATTTTCTATGCATCAAAGGGATAAATATGTACTAAAGTTCTACAGTAAGTTGAAAGAGTTGATGGATGAGTTGGAGATGCAACAACCTTTTGTTACTGCCTCAACGATATTGAGGGGATATCGTCAGGATCTAGCAGTGTCAAGGTTTTTTTTGGTTTGGTTCTGTCATTGGCATCTCAGGTGTGAGGGCAGATTTTGGGAGGAGATAATGTTCCCTCATTGACGTCTACCTTCTCCAGGGTCATGCGCGTATCACCTAGATCTTGTGCACTCTCTACACCATCTGTTGAGCAATCTGCCATGTTTGTTGGATGTACAAAGGGCATGGTCATGGTCTTGATATGGGCAGGTCGAGATACATCCTAAGGATTGAAGTAGCCTACCAAAAACATGGTTTGCTTCTTTTTCAAAGAAAGTATGTATTGGATCTTCTGGAGGAGACTGGTCTTCCAAGGTACAAACCTACAAGTACCCTAATAGAAGCAAATGAGGATTTCTTGTCTGAGGACAATAAACTTTTTGATGGCACTAAACAGTATTGGAGGCTGATTGGAAGCTAATATACCTTATAGTCAGTAGATCCGGCATATCATATAATGTTGGGTTCTCAATCAATTCATGCATAAACTTAGAGAGGTTCATTGAGGAGCTGCTTTGAGGGTTCTTGCCTATATGAAAAGCTCTTATGGTAAATGCTTATTGTACAAGAAGTGTGAAAATGTACATATCTCCGCCTATTCCAACTCAGGCTATGCAAGAGATAAGGGAGATAGGAAGTCTACTACTGGGTATTACATATTTTTTGAGGCAATCTAGTGACTTGGAGAAGAAAGAAACAAGATGTGATTTCTCGATCTAGTGCAGAGGTTGAGTACAGGGCGATGACACATATAGCTTGTGAGATGATGTGGCTAAGGAATCTAATGTTAGAACTTGGTTTTTTTTCTAGCCTGGACTCATGCCTATACACTGTGATAATCACTCTGCTATTTATATCGTCAAGAATCTTGTTTTTCATGTAAAGACAAAGCATATTCATGTTGATTGCCATTTTTGTTAGGGGCAGTGATGAAAAGCTTGATTCACACTCCATTCACCCATTCTTCACAATAGTTGGCAGACATTCTCACAAAGGTGGCTTCATCTAAAGTATTTTCTACTTTATGCAGCAAGCTAGGCATAGTTGATAACTTTGCTCCGACTCGAAGGGGAGTGTTAAATTGGTTAATTTGTTAAATTGGTTAATTTGTTAAATTGGTTAATTTGTTAAATTGGTTAATTAAGTATTGTGTCAAATATTGGGTTATTGGGTATCGTTCCATTATCTGTATTCATATTGTAACCCTATAATTGTGTTGGTTATCTAATCAATAATTTTTACCATGTCTTTTTCCTTGATAGACAGCATATGATGTTGTTAAAATTTACACTACGTAACTTCTATTTATGCAAATGTGATAATCTTCTTGTGAAAAGTGCCATGTGACACTCACAAATTAATTTCAGGCATTCAAAACCCTTAGGCTGTGTTTGGTTTGAGAGAAAGGGAGAGAAAGGAAAGTAAAGTGTGAGAGAAAATAAGATTCTGTTGTTTGGTTTGAAAGAAAACAAAAATGAAAAAGAAAATGAATTTCACTACAGAAAAATGGGTTTATATTTTTTCATTCCCCCTTTCTCTCCGCTTGCCTAGTGAAAACGAGGGAGAGCGACGGAAATTTCGCCCGACGCTGACCCCGATCTCTCGATTCTCGTCGCCTTGCTCATCGCCTCCAGAGATCGTCTCCTTGCTCGTCGCCCGACGCTGAAAGATCGCCTCCAGAGATCGTCCCCCTTTCTCTCGATTCTCTTTTGCCTCATCGTTCTCCTCTCTCTCTCTCTCGATCAAACCCTAGTTCGACGCCGACCAAACTAGGGTTTCTCCAATCGAGCTCTCGTCAGCTTGAGATCGCGAACCCTCGCTCTTCTATGGATCGTTCATTGCCGATCGCGTAACACGGGGTAAGATCCGAAGGTGAGCTTCGATTCGAGCTCGTAATTTATTTTTGATCGCTCTTCTAAGGAGGCATTTTGAACAGTATGGAGATATTTTTGAGGCCGTCGTGATCTCTGATAAGAACACGGGGAGGTCAAAGGGTTATGGTTTTGTGAGTATTCCTTCATTCTCTTGGATCTCTCTGTCAACATGAATCCAAATTCATCCGAGGTAAATTCTGCTCATATTTTTTTTGTTGGTTTTTGAAGTTTAATTTGTTGGTAATATCTTTGCTCATATTTTTGTTCATACTGTTGATGCATGAAAATACATTCCATTAGTGGTTCTGGTCCTGTGTGTTTGTTTGTATTTTTCTGAGATGATACTTAGCGGATAATACATCTCTGTTATCAGATCTAATGTCACTACTGTCTATTAAATTAGGGCCAAATTTCATTATTGTTTACTGTAGTTATTTAGTAAAATTAAAGAAGGGAAAACTTTTAGTTGAATTTGCTATAGCTTGTGACTTAACTTCACTTGTTATGGTGAAAAAGTTTGGCTTGTGTTGGATTTTACTTTATATGGTGGTCATTTCTTTTGGTTGATTTTCCTAAAAACCTGTAGCTGACTTCATTCCTTACCTTATACTCCTTTATCTTACTTTTATTGACACACTTGTATTTGCATTCCAAGTTTAGGATATGCCAAAATGAGTGTGCACCAAGTACTTGAGTGTGTTCTATGCGCGTATGAGGTATGATTATTTCTCTACCAACATAAGTTTGGAATCTGAGCTTGACATGATAAACCCAACTTCCATCACTAGGGTCTTTTCCTGACATGAAACTGACAAAATCAGCATCGGGTATGAGATGTGATCTTACATTCTACATAATATAGAATAATACAAAGAAAAAAGAGCCAAGTTATGATCACTCACCTAATCGCATGCCCATCAGATCTCATCACCTAACATTAGCTTCCAAAATCCCTATAGTTTCAAATTAAACTGATATACAGAACATTCATGGATATTCAGCAGCCACAATCCCTGCTGAAGTGTCACGCTCATGCTTGAGAGGCTTCCTGGAAAGTTCTTATTCAAAGCTGTCTTATTGCAGGTCAGCCTGAGTGCATTTGCATTCCTATTTTCAGAACTGGTGCAATACAATCAGACACAAGTTGACAACATTGCAGAGCTGGAGCGCCGGTAATGTAGAGTGTTTTTCGATTTATTTGTCAGCTATTTGTAAATGGCTCCTTACTTGGATGGTGTATGACGTGTAGTTTTTCACGGTTCAGATTTAGAATGACATATGCACATCAATATGCAGGCTAGAGGATGCTGGCTATGGTTTAGAATTAACAAGAGTATTTATTTCCTGCGTGGAGTACATAATTTCTGTGCGACCAAGGTTCACAGTTTGTTGACCTGTTTACCTCTATTAACAGTTTTTGGAGATAACAGACATATATACAGATGAGGCACCTCCAAAACATATCTAAAATCTAATTTTAGGCATTTTACATGTGATAATGTTTATAATGCACGACCTCAGAGATCATGGATATGCATGCAGAACACATCTTTGCCCTTTTATTTATTTATTTGGAAGTGTCTTAAATGAGTAAAGCCAAACACTTCATTATTTAGATGCATCAGAACTGTATTTTAGTCAACTCTAAATCAATGCTGACAATTGCACACTTTAATCGTTTGAGTCATTTCTGTTTAACAAAGTTGAGGAGGCTTAAAGCTATTGACACATGTTATTAATAGTTTAACGAGAAGGGTGGTTAATGAACATCCAAGTTGGGAAGACTATAGTATTATTCTGGCATGTGAAGTACATTGCTCCGAGGGTAGTGAGGGATTTTGCCTAAGGTTTATTAATCTAATGCTGAGCTTCTTGGCATCTGTACAGAACAGTACACTTGCATGATTCTTGAATTTGAAGCATAGTTAGGGAATCTTTTCTTTTTCTTGAATTTGAAGCATAGTTAGGGAATCTTGGTATCGGTACTAGGAGGTAATTTTGCAATGAAACATTCCTTTGCCTAATATAAAAGCCTTCCTATTGATGACATCTCTGTTAATGAAACATTCCTTTGCCTAATATAAAAGCCTTCCTATTGATGACATCTCTGTTATTCAGTGGACTTGTAGATTTTCATTATGATTCATGTATCGTCACCGTGACTTTTATTAGTGATAAAGATCACCAGACTTGGGTGACTAACTCGTTTGAAGCTCTTCATAGTGATGGATGACCAACTTGTTCAATTATGTTGCAAGTTTGTATCCTTATTGCATGTTTTATTATGTGATGCTTATTGATAAAGATGTCATGCTTCTTCATATTCCATTCCATGGATGGATGCTCAACTTGTTTAGTTATGTCGAAAGTTTGTGGCCTTATTGCATAAAGAATGTTAAGACTTCATTTTATAGGTTTTTGATGTTTATATTCTACTTATTTGAATTTTTATTTGAATTAATTTCAGGGGATGAAGGATGTGAGAATGATGTCTTGATGGGCTCACTAAAGTCAAAATCCAAGGATGTGAGATTGATGTCTTGATTGTAATAGACTTTGTTGGTTAGGATCTTCTATATGAAATTGATTGTAATAGACTTTGTTGGTTAAGATTTTCTATATGAAATTGATTGTAATAGAATTTGTGACTAGAAATGGATTATAGTTTATATTAGGAATATCATGACATTTACTTTAGATTTGTTTTGGTTCTTTCATTGATATTTCTTTCTGCAAGTATTATGTGTGAGAAATGTTGTTCTTTAATTAGTGGAATTGTGATTGTGCTTCTGCTTGTTAATATTTACAAACTCGAAGTTAATGGCCACTCAAGTTTTTGTGTTAGGAAATTGCCAATTTTTCTTGAGTTAAGATTGTGTAAACATGTATAATAACTTGTAAATTTTTTAAAAATATGATAGAATCATAATTTAATTTAATTTTTTTGTAAATTATTTAAAATTTGAATCTAATTCCAAAAAGTATGAATTAAAATTATGTTGTGATAATTTTCTTCCTCTTTTCTCAGAAAGGTAACCAAACAAGAGAAAATAACTTTCTTATGAATTTTCTTCTAACTTTCCTTACAATATTCTTTCTAACCAAACAATAAAAAGAAAATTATTTTCTTTTCTTTTTCTTTTCCTTTCTTTTTACTTTCTCTTTCTTTTTCTTTTCTCTCTCTTTCTCTCAAACCAAACATAGCCTTAAATTTTGTTTTAAAATAGAATTGGTTAGACTTAAATATAATCAAACTAAGATTAACAATAATTTAAACAAAACTTAAGGGTTACAAACTTTTAAAATTAGCCAGCGAGATTGCAACATGAAATTTGAGGAGAAAGCGCTCGCATTTTCATTACAGAAGCTTTCAAAAAGGCACTTTTTTAAAAACTTCACAGTATATAAGTGCTATTAAAAACAGGTGAGGGTATACCAGTGTAAAGTAGGTGTATCTACAAGGTATTCAAGTGCTAATTAGCCATAAAACCAAAGACAAAAATTACGGGTCGGTTATATTTCTCGCCCCTACCCGCATCACATTTGCACTTTAACACGTGACCCCGATTCCACCAAATCACGGGTTACAACGGATTCAAAGTCCGTCTCCTGTCATCTCCAACGAGGAAGGGGGGAAAAAAGAAAAAAAATAGGCGTTAGAATTTCCCAACGGTCAAATTTTTCAAAATTCCAAATCCTTTCCCCTTCCTTTCCTCTCTCTCAAAAAAGGAAAAAGAAACTCTAAACTCGATTTCTTTATCTGGGTCTCTCTTCTCTTCTCTCTCTCTATATCTCAAAAACCCCACAAGAACCCAAAACCCCAATTCCTCTCCTCGAAATTCTCTCAATCCCCACTCAAACAACTCAACTTCTCCATCTGGGTCTCTCTCAAATGGCCCCAACTCCCTCTCCAAGACCCCTCGCCACCCTCCAAACCCCATCAAGAACCCCTCACTCGAAGCACAAGCTCAACTTCCCCTCGGTCCCGACTGAGCACCCGGTCGAGGTCATCGCCCGCATCCGCAACCTCTCCGTGGACCCCACCCTCGCCGTCTCCTCTGACGCCCGATCCATCCGCCTCACTTCACCCTCGACGGGGTCTCGCTCTCCGAGACCGAAGATCTATCGGAATTCTACCAAAAGTATGTTGGGTCCAGGATTGAGGGAGTGAGATTGGGGGCTAAATGCACTATCATGATGTATGGGCCCACGGGATCGGGTAAGAGCTACACGATGTTTGGGGGGATGAAGGAGCCCGGGATTGTGTATCGGGCTTTGAAGGACATGTTGAGAGCTGAGGGGGATGATGAGGGGGGATTTGGGTTGGGGTTTTTTGTAAAGGTGACTGTTTTGGAGATTTATAACGAGGAGATTTACGATCTTCTTTCGGGGAATTCGAATGGGATTGGTATTCCGAAGGGAAGCCAGACTCCAAAGGTAAGTGAATTTTTTTTTGCAGTTAGTTAGGGTATGATGCTTATATGCGAATTATCTGTGATTAACTGTATATATATTGCTTGAGCCTTTTTAAGTTGAATTGTTTGTGTTTCTGTTTTTCTCTGATAATTTAAAGGCTTGTGTGAGGGTTTAATTATGTTTTTTTCATGATTTTTTTCTGCATAGAGATTCTTATGTCCTACCAAATTTGCTCAAGAGAATTTACAACTTACAAAACCTTGATCCTTTCACATCCATCCTTATTTCTTCACAACAAAAAGATCTCTTGAGACCGTGAAGAGTCCTAACTGTTATTTTGACTTTCAATTCAACACCCACCAAACTTCACTGTGCCATCAACCAAAAAACATTATTCCACCAACCCAAAACATTGTTCCACTAACCCTTTTGAAGGCTATAAATAGAGGAGGGTGGTGAAGGGTTAGAACATCGAACAGAAATTCAGAACAGAGAGAAGAAAGAGAGATTTGAAGAGAAAAGAAAAAGAGTGTTTTCTTTGAGTGTTTTCTTCTTTGTGAGTTTGGTGAGACATTAGAGTGAACTCCCTTTGTAATTTTCTCTTTTGTGATTAGTGAAGTTCTCTGCTATTCTCGCCCGTGAACGTAGGTCATACTAACCGAACCACGTTAAATCATTGTGTTATTCTTTGTCTTCATTGTGTTTATTCAGTGTTGTTATTCTTCACTCTTGTATAGACATATTCTGTGTCTGTAAAAAGCCCACCGTTGCAACAAACTGGTATCAGAACCTGGCTTAAAGTACGTGTATCCGTATGTTCTATGGCTGCCACTAAAAGTGGATCCTCTACATTAGAAAATAAGTTAGATTGTTATTTACTCTTTAAAGGCACTGGATACTATATATGAGCATGGTACTATTCATAAATACTATTACTATTCATAAGTACAACTACTGTTCATAAGTACGCTTACTGTTTACAATTACAGTTACTGTTCTAGTGGGCTTCAAGATGTCTTCTGCAAAATACAAAGTAAAGAAATTCGATAGGAGAAACAGCTTGAGAGTAAAAATAAGAGCTCTCCTAGTACAATAAGAACTGTTCAAAGTCTTGTCTGGAAAAGATAAGTTGTCATAATCTATGCCCGATGATAAGAAATAAGAGCTGGAAATAAAAACGCATAGTGCCATACAGCTTTGTTTGACCGATGAGGTCATGCGGGAGGTTGCTAATGAAGATACCGTCGCCGGCTTGTGGCTCAACTTGAAGCAACGCCTCTTCACCCTTCGCATGAAGGAAGATATGCGGATTAAAGACCATTTAGATGAATTTAACACTATTCTATGGATTTAAAAAATATTAATGTTAAAATTGATGAAGAAGATCAAGCTTTTATTTTGTTATGTTCATTACCTCTTTTCTATGAGAATTTTGTTAATAGTATGTTATACGATAGAGATACATTTTTTTAGGATATCAAATCAGCCTTACATTTAAAAGAGTTAATGTAGAAAATATCTATCGTAGGAGGAGAGGATCAAGCTAAAGGTTTATTCGCTTGTGGTCGTCCTGAAAAGGGTGTTGGTGGTAGAAGCAAATCAAGAAATATGTCTAGATCAAAGTCCATGTCAAGAAAAAATGTTGAATGTTATTACTATCACAAGTATGGGCATATAAAACATTATTGTCTACCGCTCAAAGCAAAGGATAATTCAAAGTCGAAGTCTGGGGAAATAAAACTTTCAGTTGTTACTGTAATTGAAGAGTCTTCTAGTTCACATGAAATTCTTTCAGTTAGTGTTAATACTCATTCACAAGATGAGTGGGTTCTTGATTTGGGTTGTTCCTACCATATGTGTCCACATAGGGATTGGTTTGTTACATATCAGTCTATCAATGATGGAAATATCTTGTTAGAAAATAACATGTCTTGCAAGACTGTTGGTATCGGATCAATTAAGATTAGAACCCATGATGGTATTGTTAGAACTTTGAGTAATGTCCGACATATACCAGAGTTAAAGAAGAAGCTTGTTTTTTTAGACACCTTTGACTCAAATGGTTTTAAGTTTTCGGCTGAAGGTGGAATTTTGAGAGTTAGTAAATGCTCTTTTATTATGATGAAAGAAAAGAAGGTAAATACCCTCTATATCCTTGTAGGCAGCACAGTGACATATGTTGCAACAGTATCATCCTCAGAGGATTCAGATTCTAACACCACACGTTTGTGGTATATGCGGTTAGGGCATATGAGTGAGAGATGACTAGATGTATTAAGCAAACAAGGTATACGTTTGTGGTCAGAAAAATAGTAAGCTAGACTTTTGTGAGCATTGTATTTTCAAGAAACACCATAGAGTCTCATTTAGTACCAATGTCCATAGAACTAAAGGTACTTTAGATTATATCCATTCAGATGTTTGAGGTCCCTCTCAGGTTTCATCGAAAAATGGAGCTCAATTTTTGCTAACATTGATTGATGATTATTCTAAAAAAGTTTGGGTGTATCCTTTGAAGCATAAGAGTGATGTGTTTACAACCTTCAAGCAATGAAAGGTTATGATTGAGAAGCAAACAGGAAAGAAAGTGAACTGCCTCAAAACTGACAATGAGATAGAGTTTTGTTCCGCAGAGTTTGACCAATTTTGCATGAATGAATGTATTGTGCGTCATCGTACAGTTCAGCATACTCCATAACAAAATGGAGTTGTAGAAAGAATAAACAGAACACTTTTAGAGAAAGCTCGATGCATGTTCTCTAATGTCGGTTTGTCAAAAGACTTTTGGATCGAGATAGTCAATACAACTTGCTATTTGATAAACAGATCTCTTTCTACAATAATTAATTTTAAAACTCTAAAAGAGATATGGTATGGTGTCCCTGCTAATTACTCTTATTTAAGAGTATATATGGTTGCTCTGCTTATTTTCATGTTAATGATGGTAAGCTTAAACCCAAAGCAAAGAAAACTATCTTTCTAGAATATGTTACTGGGATAAAGGGATATAGACTATGATGTTCTGATATTAAATCACCTAAGTTTATTATTAGTAGGGATATTACTTTTGATGAGAAATACATGCTTTATCCGAGAAAGGATTTTGTTATTGATACCACAGGTACTGAAAAGAAGTTTAGCAAGCAGGTAGAGCTAGAGAGCTTAGCTTCAAAGAGAGTGCTTGAAGGCACTCATGTTGAACCAGTTGACACTAGAAAGGTTCAATTTCAGATGCTGATACACCGTAAGAGCAACAGTATAGTATTACCACCAAGAGAACAAAAAGACAAATCCGATATCTTTAACGTTATGCAGACATGTTTGTTTATGCTTTGAGTATAGCAGAGTCGATTAAAATTCTAGAGCCTTCTACCTATAAGGAAACTATTAGTGACAATGAGGCTGCAAATTGGACTGTTGCAATGATTAAAGAGATATAGTCTCTTCACAAGGGACTGTAGATATTGGCTTGAATTTAGACATCTGACAGGAGCCCATTTAAATTTGAAAAGAGAACACAACAAGACATTGGGGAGATAGAGATCTCTGTCACCTCACTTCTTTCTTAAGTTTTTTCAATATTGGCGGCTTATCTGGATTTGAGCCACAGAAGCAACAAGCCTCTTGAAACTAATGTCTCCATCGCCATCACTTCGTGTAGAGAGAAGTGGAAAGTACTTGTTGAAAATCAAACTGAAAAGAAGATTAAACATCTCCGAACAGATAATGGCCTATAGTTCTGCAGTGGAGAGTTTAATCAGTTCTGCTCAAATTCTGGGATCGTACGACATCGCACGGTCAGACACACTCCTCAGCAAAACGGGGTGGCAGAACGCATAAATAGAATGTTGACGGAGAGAGCTAGGTGTATGCTCTCAAACTCTGGGTTTGATAAAAACTTCTGGGCTGAAGCTGTTAACACAGCTTGTTACTTGGTGAACCGGTCTCCTTCTATCGCCATTGAACACAAGACTCCAAATGAGGTATGGTTAGGTAAACCAAATGACTATTCAAATTTAAAGGTATTTGGATGTCCCGACTATCATGTTAGAGAGGGTAAGCTTGAGCCTAGAGCTAAAAAATACATATTTATTGGTTATGCTGATGGCGTTAAAGGCTATCGTTTGTAGAGTCTTGAACCTGATTCACCTAAATTCATTATTAGTAGAGATGTTACTTTTAATGAAAGATATATGCTTGATCATGGGAAGATTTCTGTTGAGTCTACAGGAAATATAGAGAAGATTATGGATAAAGTGGAGCTTCAGGTGGAGCTCGAGGGAAAGACGTCTCAAAAGTCGTCTATAAAAATTACTCCTACAGCTGTAGAAGAGCAATATGATTTAGGTTCAGATGCTGATGATGCTGAGATTGAAGAACCTTATTCCATAGCCACTGGCATGATGAGGAGACAGATCAAACCTCCTCAAAGATATGCACATGCTGAATTAGTGGCATATGCTCTCACGACAGCTGAAGAGATGTGTATAACCTCCTCAAAGATATGCACATGCTGAATTAGTGGCATATGCTCTCACGACAGCTGAAGAGATGTGTATTCAAGAGCCATCCATGCTGAATTAGTGGCATATGCTCTCACGACAGCTGAAGAGATGTGTATTCAAGAGCCATCAAACTTTATTGAAGCTATCTCATGCAGAGAAAGATGGACGTTGGGCCATGGCTATGACAGAAGAACTCGAGTCACTCTACAAGAATCAGACTTGGGATTTGGTGTAATTACCTAAGGATAAAAGGGCAATTGGATGCAAGTGGATTTTCAAAAAGAAAGAAGGGATCTTAGGAGTTGAAGATGCTAGATTCAAAGCACGATTGGTGGCTAAGTGTTATAGACAAAAGGATAAAATTGACTATGATGAAGTGTTCTCTCCGGTTGTGAAGCATACCTCCATCCGTGTATTGCTTGCCATGGTTACTCTATTTGATTTGGAGCTTGAGCAGCTTGATATGAAGACTGTATTTTTACATGACGAACTTGAGGAGACTATCTACATGTCTCAGCCAGAGGGATACTTCGTAGAAGGTAAAGAAGATCAAGTTTGCAGATTGAAGAAATCCTTATACGGCCTGAAGCAATCTCCCAGACAGTAGTATAAGAGGTTTGATAATTTTATGTTTGATAATTTTATGCTTAGTCATGGGTACTCAAGAAGTACTTATGATAGTTGTGTGTACTACATGCATCTAGGAGATGATTCTTTTATTTATCTTCTATTATATGTTGATGACATGTTTATTGCTGCTAAGAACATGTCACAGATTCTTATTTTAAAGAAACAACTCAATGATGAGTTTGAAATGAAAAATCTTGGTACAACAAAGAAGATCTTAGGTATGGAGATCAGGAGGGACAGGAAAGCTAAAACTTTATATCTCCCACAGAAGAGTTATATTAAAAAGGTACTTGAACGTTTTGGGATGAAAAGGGCCAAGCCCGTTACGACTCCTTTGGCTCCTCACTTTAGGCTCTCGACTTCAGATTCACCTACAAGTGAGAACGAGAAGAAGGAGATGTCCCGAGTTCCATACTCTAATACAGTGGGTAGCATAATATATGCTATGATTTGCACTTGTCCAGACATTGCTCAGGCAGTCAGTGACTCAGTGTAGTGAGCAGATACATGGCTCAACCAGGAAAGGCACACTGGGAAGCAGTAAAGTGGATCCTACGGTATCTCAGGGGTACCTTAGATTTGAGTTTAGTTTTTGACAGCAATACTTTGGGAACCTCAGTTGTAGGTTTTGTGAATTCTGATTATGCAGGTGATCTCGATAAAAGGAGATCTTTGACTGGTTATTTTTTTACTCTTTCTGGCTCAGCTATTAGTTAGAGATCGACTTTACAGTCGACAGTTGCTTTGTCTACTACAGAGGTAGAATACATGGCAGCAGTAGAAGTGGTAAAAGAGGCCATTTGGTTGAAAAATCTCGTGAGGAGGCTAGTTCAGTTGTATTTTGCGACAATCAGAGCGCAATACATTTAAGCAAAAACTCAGCACATCATGAGAGGACAAAGCATATTGATGTCAGATATCATTTCATTCGTGAGGTAACTGCTGAAAGAAATATCACGATGAAGAAGATTGGTACTGCAGACAACCCAGCTGATATGTTGACCAAACCGATCCCGACCTTCAAGTTCAAGAACTGTTTGAATTTGGGAGGCATTCACACTTGTTAGGCGGCCCTGTTTGGGGCATTGTTTGCAAGAGGGGGTCGAGCTTCACTTGTTCTATTATGAAGTGAACTCCCAACGTAAGTTGTGTTCATGATAAATATTCAACTTATTGATGTTTGAAGATTCAATCCAAGGTGGAGATTGTAGATATTGGCTTGAATTTAGACATCTGACAGGGGCCCATTTGAATTTGAAAAGAGAACACAACAAGACATTGGGGAGATAGAGATCTCTGTCACCTCACTTCTTTCTTAAGTTTTTTCAACATTGGCAGCTTATCTGGATTTGAGCCACAGAAACAACAAGCCTCTTGAAACTAATGTTGCCATCGCCATCACTTCGTGTAGAGAGAAGTCAACATTGGCGGCTTATCTGGATTTGAGCCACAGAAGCAACAAGCCTCTTGAAACTAATGTCGCCATCGCCATCACTTCATGTAAAGAGAAGTCAATTTGAGGTGGGCCCTATTGAGTTCTAAAGTGTTGACATATTAGTATTATTAGGGACTTATTTGTAAGTTTTGTAGGGGCCTATATAAAGCCCAAGAGATCTCATAATGAATTAGGGTTTCATATTCTTTATGGTATCAGAGCCCCACAAAAAACCCTAGCCGCCTCCACCCTTTACCACCCCGGCTGCACCCCTCTCTCTCGGCCACCTCCCCACCCTCGGAAAACTCTCCAGAGCCGCCCTCCTCCGCCCTGCCCCCCCGCCAACACCCCCCCTTGCCAGTCAGAGAGCGCCGCGCTCCTGCCTGTCCAGCGAAGCAGAATACCCCCCTGCTTGCCCTGTCAGAAGCCGAAACACGCCCCTGCCCTGCTCCTCAGGGCGAACAGCCCCCTTCTGCCTCTGTCCTATCAGGCCGAACAGCCCCTTTGGCCGCTGTCGCACAGCGCCGAGACACCCCCCCTTTGCCCTTTCCTCAAGCCGAACACCCCCCCTTCAGATCCGTAAAACCCTCAGGGCGAACCAACTCCCGTACACATCTCAGACCCCCTTCAGATCCGAAAACCCCTTGACCCCCTACTTTTCCCACGATCAGACCTCCTTCCGCCCCCACCCCGCGTTGCCCGCCGCTTGCTGCGCTATGCCAGACCTCGAGTTTGGCATGGGTTCCCTCGACTCAGTCCTCGAACTGATGACAGGCAGAGTATATACCTCACATCGATGAGATATATAACTGGTTTTGGTTCTTGTTTCCTCTGAGAAACGAGAATTTGTTAGAGATCTTACTCTTGTTGTGCAGCAGAGGTGCTGCCGAAATTTTTACTGCACACAACAAGGGTCGGAAGAGAAGGTGAACAGGTGGTGGATCTGAAGCTTGATCGATGGAGGAGATCATCAAGAAGTTGAACCCTGCGGAGGTATCAACTTTGATGAAGTTGATGAAGTTGTCGGCTGGTGAGAGCGCGACAAAACCATCAAAGAAGTTGGAGCTTCCGACCATCGATCTGAAGCTTGATGGACCGAGTACGTACCTGAGCTGGTCGCGACGGGTGAGATACACCCTTGCAGGGCGGAACCTAGAGGGTTACTTGACAGGAGAGGCGACAGAACCGGAAGAGGACTCGGAGGGAAGAGATGAGTGGAAGACCACTCATATGTTGGTGTACATCTGGCTTCTCAACTCGTTGGTCCCAACGATCGCCGCCAAGGTAGATGGCATTGAGAAGGTGAAGGACGTCTGGGAGAAGTTGAGGAGGACATATGATGGAGTGGGGAATAACCTGAGGGTATTCTAGATTAAAGGAGAGATCGACGCCACAGTCCAGGGTGAAAGGACTGTACAGGAATATGCTACAGAGTTGGAACGCCTGTGGCTGGATTATGATCATTTCTCTCCCCGGGCTAGCTGCAAGGACCCGGGATGTAAAGAGCGGGAGGCCTTTCTACAAGAGAGGACTATGGTGTTTCTTAAAGGATTGACATCAGAGTTCGCTCAGCGAATCGTATTGCTGCTAGCTCAGCCGAAGATTCCCACGCTTGAGGAGGCTATCTCTGCTATAATCCAGGAGGAGACTCGCATTCGGCTGCAGGCGGGGACAGGTGGACTTCCTGTGGTGAAGTCAGCACTGGCAGCCTCTAGCAACACTGGACCTAGGGGAGAGACCCGACAGTGCTACAACTGCGGTGCGGTGGGTCATCTACGGCATGCTTGCACCAAGCCATCCAAGGAAGGAGAGTCGGGTGGACGTGGATAGTTCGGAGGTCGTGGTCGTGACCGTGGGGGTCGACGAGGTGGAAGAGGAGCAGGGAATCGGGCAAATCTGACAGTAGCAGAAGAAGAAGAAGCTGAGGTGGTCTTTACAGAGGAGGATCGTGCTCTCCTCACGATACTCAGGAAAAAACAGCAAGTAGCAGGGGATGGAGATTTGAGGAATGGGACTGCGGAGGCATCTACTTCGTTCTTCGTCAGAGGCAACACTGCTACCTATGCTCATCCGAACAAAGGTACTGATGACATACATGCTCTTGCTTCTATGTCTCCTGACAGATCATCAGCATGGATAGTCGACTCCGGTGCGTCTTGTCATGTGACAGGTAATGCTAGTGAGTTCTCATCATATACTCACTTAGCATCGCCTGATAGTATTCAAACAGCTGATGGTACATTTCAGCCGGTAGTTGGTAAGGGTACAGTCGATTGTACTGGTTCTGTAACTTTGTCCAATGTTTTGCATGCTCCTTCTTTTCCAGTCAATCTTTTATCTATTAGTTCTATCATCCTCCAACTAAAATGCATCGTCTCTTTTGATATTCCCAAGGTAATCTTCCAGGAGAAGGGGACAGGGCGGAGACTTGGGACTGGCACATGGCGTAGTGGACTGTGGTATCTGGATCGTGAAGGGCTGGATTCAGCATTGGTGTCAGTCATAGAGGAAGCAGGAGTAGGATCTAAAATGAGTGCTGAAAATGAGTTAATGCTCCATCACCAGCGTTTGGGACACTCATCCTTTAGTGTTTTAGGTAGATTGTATCCTTTTTTATTTGAGAAGTGCTGAAAATGAGTTAATGCTCCATCACCAGCGTTTGGGACACTCATCCTTTAGTGTTTTAGGTAGATTGTATCCTTCTTTATTTGAGAAAGCAAATAAACAGAAACTTGTGTGTGATGCATGTGAGTTGGGAAAGCTTACTAGAAGCTCTTATGTTAGTTCTGGTCATAGAAGTTCTCATGCATTTGACCTGGTACATTCAGATGTTTGGGGGCCTTGTTCCACAAGTTCTATGAATGGATACAAATATTTTGTTACATTTATTGATTGCTTCTCTCGTGTTACTTGGTTATACCTGATGAAGAATAAGAGTGATGTGTTTGGGTGCTTCCAAAATTTTCATAAGACTGTTCAGACTCAATACGGAGCAGTGGTGAAAGTATTGAGGTCAGATAATGGGACAGAGTATACCAACAGAGCCCTTGAAGAATATTTGTCAGCTCAAGGAATACATCACCAGACAACCTGTCCATACACTCCAGCACAGAATGGGGTAGCGGAAAGGAAGAACAGACATCTTTTAGAGGTTGCTAGAAGCATGATGATCTCTATGAATGTCCCAGAGACATTATGGGGACAAGCAGTATTGACCGCAGCAGCGTTGATCAACAGAATGCCCTCGAGAGTGCTGGATTGGAAGTCTCCGTGTGAGATATTGAAAGGAGATAATGGTGGGATCCTTCCACTCAAAGTGTTTGGCTGTGTGTGTTTTGTGAAGGACAACAGGCCGTCTGTCGGGAAGCTTGCCCCTAGAGCTGTGAAGTGTATCTTTGTGGGATATTCTGCTACTCAGAAGGGATATGTTTGCTGGAGCCCGGTGGAAAAAAGGTTGTTTGTGAGCATGGATGTGCACTTTCGAGAACTCGAGCCATATTACACTCAGAAGGTAACTTCATCTGCTGGTAACTCGTCCAATACTAGAAGTATGGGGCGAGAGGAGGAGAATGGTGAGAGACAGGAGAACAATGTGGAGAAATCCATTTCTGTAACGATTCCTTGGGAGGAAGATTTGGTTAAGAAAAGGAAAATGAGACAAGAGGTGTTAGGCCCACTGTTCAGGGGGAGCTACTAACCTATAGTAGGAAGGGCAAACAAATTGGAGAAACAGTACCTACAGTGCCACTAGTGCTGCCAAGTCTCTTGCCAACGCCTACCCCGACTCCTGAAATTCCTACACCACCACCAATTTCATCCCAAGGTGATAACATTCCTACTGATAATATTCCTCTCCCTACTCCTCCCACACCAATATCAGTACGGAGGACTACTCGCAGTAATGCGGGACATCCTCCCGATAGATATGGTTGGGATCTTGCCCAGTATGTATCATATTCTAGTATCCACCCTGCATATGGAGCATTCATTGCATCATTGGACTCTGTTACTGTACCTAACAATTGGCAGGTTGCTAAGAAGGACCCAAAATGGAAAGCGGCTATGCACGAGGAGCTAGGAGCTCTAGAGAAGAACCGCACTTGGAAGCTAGTAAAGTTACCAGAAGGAAAGAGAGCAGTTGGATGCAAGTGGGTCTTCACTGTGAAGCAGAATCCAGATGGACAAGTTGAGCGCTACAAGGCCCGTCTGGTGGCAAAAGGGTATAGTCAGACATATGACATAGATTATGATGAGACTTTTGCACCGGTGGTGAAGATGAGCACTGTTCGGACCTTAATCTCTCTGGCAGTGAATGGTGGATGGAAGCTACACCAACTAGATGTGAAGAATGCATTTCTTCATGGAGATCTAGTGGAGGAGGTATACATGGAGATACCACCAGGATTTGGTACAGATCAGACAGTGGGAAAGGTCTGCAGATTGAAGAAGTCTCTCTATGGTCTGAAGCAATCTCCCCGTGCTTGGTTCGACAGATTCAGAAGGGCCATGATTGGTATGGGATACCAACAGATCAACGCCAACCATACAGTGTTCTTTCGACGGAGTGGAGGCCATATTACTATGCTTGCGGTATATGTGGATGATATGATCATTACAGGGGATGACGAGAAGGAGATTGCCCAACTCAAAGTGAGACTGAGTAAGGAATTCGAGGTGAAAGATCTTGGCTTGCTTAGATACTTTCTTGGAATAGAGATAGCTCGAGGAGCGGAGGGGATCGTCCTATCCCAGAGAAAGTATGCACTGGATCTTCTCAAAGAGACAGGAATGTTAGGATGCAAACCTGCAACTACACCGATCGACCAGAGGTTCAAGCTAGGTGCTGAGGCTGGAGAACCAGTTGATCGTGACAGATATCAGAGGTTGGTGGGAAGGCTGATCTATTTGAGTCACACACGTCCTGATATCTCCTTTGCAGTAAGCGTGGTGAGTCGACAGCTGAGGCAGAGTATAGAGCTATGGCCTTAGGAGTTGCTGAGTTGCTATGGTTGAAGAGTATGCTGGTGGAGCTGAAGCTGGATCAAGGAGATAAGATGAAGTTATGGTGTGACAACAAGTCAGCTATAAGTATTGCCAACAACCCAGTGCAGCATGATAGAACCAAACACATCGAGATCGATAGGTTCTTCATCAAAGAGAAGTTGGATAGTGGACTACTGGAGCTAAGTCATGTTTCGACTAAGGACCAGGCAGCAGATTGTCTGACTAAAGGACTCAGCTCAGTAGATATGATTAGAGGATGTGACAAGATGGGCTTAATAGATATCTTTCGCCCATCTTGAGGAGGAGTGTTGACGTATTAGTATTATTAGGGACTTATTTGTAAGTTTTGTAGGGGCCTATATAAAGCCCAAGAGATCTCATAATGAATTAGGGTTTCATATTCTTTATAAAGATCTCTCGTTCTCTCTAAAACTCAGAGAAGGTTTTTCAATCATAAGTGGGAGTGAGCTACATAATCAAGTAGAGCTATCACTCTCTGTAGATTTGTACTTGTGTGAAAACTCAAAGAATTAAAATTTAGCCCCTCTTGCCGTGGACGTAGATCAATTTGATCGAACCACGTAAATATTGTGTTTGTGATAGTCTCTCTATATCTCTTGCCGTGGACGTAGATCAATTTGATCGAACCACGTAAATATTGTGTTTGTGATAGTCTCTCTATATTTCTGGCTTTGTGTTTAATTATCTCAACATGAACCACGTAAATATTGTGTTTGTGATAGTCTCTCTATATTTCTGGCTTTGTGTTTAATTATCTCAACATGGACAAAAGATCGTTGGCTGTAAATAGGTGTTCAAGGAGACTATTAGTGACAATGAGACTGCAAATTGGACTGCTGTAAATAGGTGTTCACAAGAACCAGTCATGGGAGTTAGTGAAACCACCAAGGGGACAAAAGATCGTTGGCTGTAAATAGGTGTTCAAGAAGAATGAAGGAATTCTGGATATAGATTTTGTAAGATACAGGGCACGTTTGGTAGCTAAATTCTATATAGTCAGACCGAAAGTGTAGACTTCAATGAAGTATTCTCTTTAATTGTAAAACACATCTCAATCTGCGTGTTGCTTACCATGGTTACTCATTTTAATTTAGAGATTGAGCAACTTGATGTGAAGATGACTTTTCTACATAACGAGTTTGAGGAACAAATCTTTATGCATCATCTATAGGAGTTTATTGTTGAAGGTAAAAAAGATCATGTGTGCAGATTGAAGAAATCTCTTTATGAGTTAAAATAATCTTCGAGGCAGTAGTATTTGAGATTTGATACTTTCATATTTGAGCAAGATTACTCTAGGAATAAATATGATAGTTGTGTTTATCATAAAAAGCTCAATGATGATTCTTTTGTGTATTTGTTTTTGTATGTTGATGACATATTGATTATAGCTAAAGATATGTTAGAAATCAACGAGTTAAAATCTCAACTCAAACATGAGTTTGAGATGAAGGACTTGAGAGCAGCAAAGAAGATTTTAGGGATGGAGATCTACAGGAACAAGAGAGAAGGAAGTTTATTCTTGTCTCAGGAGAAATACACCAAAAAGGTATTAGAAAGATTTGGCATGCTTGATGCCAAGCCTATGAAGACTCCGCTTGCTGCTCATTTTCGTCTTTCAGCAGATTTATCACCGCAGACTAAAAGGAGGAGTAGCACATGTCTTGTGTTCCTTATACGAGTGTAGTTAGACGCATTATGTATGCTATGGTCGGCAACCATCCAAATATTTCACATGCAGTCAGTGTTGTGAGTCGGTATATGGATAAGTCTGAAAAGTCCATTGGCAGACTGTGAAATGGGTACTTAGATATTTGAGAGGATCAGATAATATTAGTTTATATTTTGGCAGGAACACAAACTCAGATTGCAGAATACTGAGCTATTCTAATTTAGATTATCTAGGCAATTTGGATAAGAGACGATCCCTGGTAGGTTATATTTTTACTCTTTCAGATAGTGCCATTAGTTAGAAGGCAACTCTACAGTTGACAGTTGTTTTGTCTATCATAGAGGCAGAGTATATTACAATGACAGAAACAGTGAAAGAAGTCATTTGGTTGATGAAAGGTTTGGTTGAAGATTTCGGCTTACACCAATGTATTACTACGGTATTTTGTGACAACCAGAGTGCTATACATTTGACGAAGCATCAGATGTATCATAAAAGAACTAAACATATAGATGTCATGTATTATTTTATCATAGAAATTAAAGTCATCAAGATTAAAAAATTAGTATTGCAGATAATCCAGTAGATATGATGACGAAGCCCGTACATTCGCGCAAGTTCGAGTATTGTCTCGAATTGCTTGGAGTTTAACAAAGTGGAGGTTAAGCTCGTAAGGGGCTTCTAGCGAGACAACAAGAGTTAAGAGAAAATCTTCATATTCAAAGTCAAGGTGGAGATTTGTTATTTTGACTTTGAATTCAACACCCACCAAACTTCACTGTGCCACCAACCTAAAAATACTATTCCACCAACCCTTTTGAATGCTATAAATAGAGGAGAGTGGTGAAGGGTTAGAGCATCGAACAGAAATTCAGAACAGAGAGAAGAAAGAGAGATTTGAAGAGAAGAAAAAGAGAGTTTTTTTTAATGTTCTCTGTGTGAGTTTGGTGAGATATTAGAGTGATCTTCTTTTTTTATGATTAGTGAAGTTCTCTGCTGTTCTCGCCCGTAGACATAGGTCATACTGACCGAACCACATTAAATCATTGTGTGTTGTTCTTTGTCTTCACTGTGTTTATTCAGTGTTATTATCCTCCACTCTTATATAGACATCTTTTGTGTCTGTGAAGCCCCTGCTGCAATACTAACAACTGCTTAGCATCCAACTATAGGTGAATCATTGTGTTCCGTAAGCATTGCTTGCTTAATTTTGCCAAATTTGTGAATAGTGAGAACTTTTGCCTGTAGAGTAACAGATGCTCTATTTCTTAAAGTCATCATATCCAAGGCGACCAGCTGAGAATCTAGTTCTTGAAAATAGGATTAAGTTGATGCCATATCCTCAATATTTGACAACCAGTCGATCTATTACTGATATTGCAAATGCAACCTTCATTTTTTCCACAGATCTCACGAGAGATATTGATTGGTTATTGGTTTTGACTATAAAACTCTAGCCTATCAAGCCTTGATGTCATTTTATTACACATGACGATGGCCAGTTTACTTCTCATAAGTGGATAGGGTGAAGTTTTTCCCATCAGTGCATAACCATGATACGCAACAGTTCTGTTTTTTTCTCGCATCATTTCGCTCTAATATTAGATTTCCCGGCATCACATTTTATCAAAATATTTTGTGTAAAGCCTCATATAGCTAAAATTGATGGAGTTGTTAAACTGTTTAAGGATTTGAAAGGCTTTTTGTGCTTACTTTTTCCGAGCACAGGCGTCTTTTCTGAAAGATGGATAAGAAATGTTGCTACTTTACCCATACCCTCCAAAACTACAAGAATCTTCAAATTTTTTTCCTCCTTTTTCTTTCCTCCTTTTTCTTTAGCAGGAGTTGTTTGTTATCTTTTTTCACACTGTATGTATAACTTGTAACAAATCCTTGATATGCAGGTGAAGCTGGAAGTTATGAGCAAAAAAGCAAAGAATGCAAGTTATATCTCTGGGAATGAAGCGGGAAAAATATCAAGAGAGGTCGCCAAAGTTGAGAAGAGGCGAATTGTTAAGAGCACAAATTGCAACGAACGAAGCTCAAGGAGCCACTGTTTGGTTTGTTTTCCCCTTATTTCTTTGCCAGTCTTAGTTTCAATCTTTTCAATTTTCAGGTTGCAAAATATTAGCTTTTTTGGGGTGCAAATCACAGATAATCTTGGATGTTCCATCTGTGGGGGGGAGGTTAATGCTTGTTGACATGGCAGGATCAGAAAACATAGAGCAAGCTGGGCAAACTGGATTTGAGGCAAAAATCCAGGTGATAATATGTGAAATCAATTCTTTTATGAATGTATTTCATATTTCCTGCAAATTAAATCCCTTTGATTTCTGCATTAATGTACAATTATCACGTTCGTATGTTGGGCTTGTATATACCCCTTAAACCATAAGCAAACTATCCCCAAATCTTAATATTTGCAAAACTACTACCCTCAAATCATCAACTTTGAAAAAAAAACACCAAATAAACAAATCATCAACTTTGTTGGATATGGTGAGGAAAATTTGACTATTTTCTTAATATTTTTTTACATAGGAGTTACATTCTTAAATATAATAGTATATTTCATATTTCATATAAATTAAGGTCTTGGTTGTTTATGCATTAATGTACAATTAGTGATTCTTTGTTTTTTAATAACATCTACCTTTGTATATTGAGATATTACTCCTGAATGGTGTAGCATCTACCTGCGTACCATCTACCTTTGTTTGTGTGACACCTACCTTCGTATCTTTGTTTGTGTGGCACCTACCTTCATATCTTTCGCATTTTTGAACTAATCCCTCAAATCATTGCAATTGCTATTAGCTCTCCCAATTCTCATGAGTTGTTTCAAATTATGCCCTCTAATTGCTATTTCTACTTTAGATTCATGATTTCTTGTTCAGCATTATTTTCTGCTACATTTAATTTTTTGACTGACTTGATAAACTTCTTAATTATTCCTATCACAGACAGGTAAAATCAACCAAGGAAACACAGCATTGAAAAGAGTTGTTGAATCAATTGCAAACGGCGATTCTCATGTACCATTCAGAGATAGCAAGCTAACAATGCTTTTGCAGGTAAAAAATTATGACCTTTTTTGTGTAGTTTTATTTCATAATAAACTAAAAACCTGATCTTTGTTTTTACAGGATTCTTTTGAGGATGACAAATCCAAGATTCTCATGATTTTGTGTGCAAGCCCTGACCCTAAAGAGATGCACAAGACAATATCTACTCTCGAATACGGGGCTAAAGCTAAGTGTATTGTCCGTGCAGCTCACGTGTCAACTCCAAAGGAAAAGGCAATGCCTGACGAATCAAGCACACTCCTAAGATCAAGAATTGCAGCGATGAATCAGTTCATCTACAAGTTGCAAATGGAGAACAGACTCAGAGAAAAAGAACGCGATGATGCACAAAAAGAGGTAGCAAAGAAAGAGGAAGAGATTCTCGCAGTTAAGTCTAAGCTTAAAGTGATAGAAGCAAAGGTGTCATCCCTAAAAGAAGAAGAGATTGAATCCAAGGTTGAGGAGAGGACCCAAATGATGAGAATCGAGCTAACAAGAATGGAAGAAAAGATGCTGAGACAACAAGAAGAACTTAATTCTTTAAGGCAACAGTTGGAGAAAATTGAATTAGAAAGGGGAAATGCCAATGAAGAAGCATTAAAAGATATAGATGGAGGCAAGTTCATGAAGAAGCTATCAGAAATTTATGGTGGAGATCAAGGGATGGAGAAATCTATGGAACTTGATATGGGGGATTTACCAGTGACTCATGATGTAATGGAAATAAAGGAGAATTTCCACCAGTTGAATCCTCAATATTTGGGTGTTGAGGATGAGGAGGATATTAATGCTATGAGATTCCCTGATAGAGTATGTTTGAGCACTGTTTTTGAGAGGGACGATGAAGGAGATGATAGAGATAGCACTGAAAACTATGAAGTTGATAAGGAGGTTATAGAAGAGAACACACCAATGCTCATTCATAATGGTGACAATTCTAAAGAAGCAAGAAAAACGCGAATTCAGAACATTTTTAGGCTTTGTGGTAACTATAGGGAGTTATCACAACAAGTTAAAGTTAGGACTCCAACAAAGACTAATGAAAATGAAAATGCTCGTGCATCACCTTTGGGATTGAAGGAAAGTCCAATTTCTTCACTTCTTGCTCCACTCTCGTCACTTCACATCGCAGATGAGAATAAATGTGTTTCTCACTCTGAAACAATAGAAAATTTGAAGGAAAATAGTGAGCCTGATGGAATGATGGAGGTTTGTGTGAAATGGGAAGCTTCAAAAGAATTTGGCGGGAAAATTATCAAGAAGATGAAAGTTGTGAAGGATACCACTCTCTCTGATTTGAGGAAGCTGATTGAAGTTCATCTTGAAGAGGATAAAAACAAGCAGGCATTCACTTTTCTACTACTTGGGGTATGCTACTTACTCATACTATTAGTATTAGAGTGTCGCTACAGGGACCCAAAAAATGGGACACCTCACCTGTCCCGCTACCTGTCCCATTTTTTGGGTCCTTTTAGCGTTTTTCTTAGTATTTATATAGTAACTGGTCATATTTGTTTCCTTATTAATATATTTTTGAACATAGATTCATTTAACCTTTTCATTTGAACTTATGAACAAACTGAATCCTGATCAATTGCGCGATAATTGTGACTGATATTTTTCTTAAGATTTCCTTCTGCAAGTTTGAATTTGTCAACTAAAACATGGTTTTTACGTTTTGGCTAATTTTAGATTTAGGCCCACATATCTTCAATAATTCTGTATTAGTTCCTCAAATCTTTGAAATTGCTCATAAGTCACTCAAATCCTAAGGGTCTTGAATTTGGTCCCTCATTAGCCAAAATACCCTTAGTTTATGCCCCCCACCACTACCAACCCAATGTTAGAAAATTAAGCTTTGAAGATGAAAAACGAAGCTTCTCTCAGTGTGATTGAGGTGTTGGACATGCAAATGCACGTAGAACAATGAAGAGGAAGAAGAGAAACTGAGCTCGGTTCACACCTGCGAGACTCCAGAACCCGGATTTACCCCTCCTAGTGAGGGCAATCTGGATCCCGTTCAACACACTAATCAAGAAAGAGACAACATATTTAAACACTCCAAACTCTTTCTCATTTTTTTATGTTGGACTAAAGATAACACTTAATTTTAAAATATACTTAAAACTCCAACACCCATAACCACTTGTGTTAAAAAAATAATAATAAAGATTTACTTAGGGGTATTTTTGGTCTCTGAGGGGGGACCAAGTTGCAAGACCCCTTACGATTTGAGGACATATGGACAATTTTAAAGATTTGAGGGACTGATATGGAATTATTAAAGATTTGAGGGACTAATTATCTAAATAGCCCTATGTTTTTCATGTGACATTAGCTATATGCTTATCTTTCAGAATGGTCTCATCTTGCAGTTATTTATCTGAACTGATGTGGATTCAACACCTTTCTTCTTTCGTTTCTTTTTTTTTGGGGTACTAGATGTGGATTCAATTTGATGAACTTGTAATCCAACTATAAATACAAATGTGGAAAATTATATGCGTACATATTTTCTTCATTGTTTCAATATCTAATATGCATACATATTGGTTATTGCAATAGGATCCTACTGGAGCTCCAGTCACCAAAGAAAAAGAAGCAACAGTTCCAGTCTGCAAATTGCCAATTTGCAACAACCTATCAAGCACTCATCTCGCCTGCCTACGTCCGATCAAGAAATCAGCAAATCGGCCAAATCATGCTCCATTTACTTCTCTGGAGAATACACTTCCAATTGCTGGACACGTCTAGTCGAAGTCTCTGACACGGGTTGTGCATGTTGTTTTAGCCAGTCATATAAATCTTATTGTATTTCTGGATGTATTTCGTGCATAGCTGTCAATGAAATTCGTGGGTTGCTACTAGTACTTTTGACAGTTATAGTTAAAGATGTGTTCAAACTAGTATTTTGCACATTTTGTGGTTCTGTTCATACAATTAACTTTTTGCATTGGAATATGAAAACAAGAAGGGACAGATCCGATCCCTTGTAGAAAAAAATTAGGCCAAGGGGGGTCTATCTACGATAATATTAGAACTACATGGGGTCTATCCGCAATTAACCCTTTTTAAAATTTAATCATATTCTAATTTTAATGTTGACTTGTAAGTGGTCAATGCTCAATTGAAGTTAGAGGTGTGTTAGTAGTAGCTCTGTATTGATAACTTACAATTCAATCAAGGCAAGAATGAGAATAACATGAGAATTTGGTGATAAGAACATAGTTTGAGTTTTCATTGAAAATATGATGAATCTCAGAGAAGAGTGTGACAACTGTAATAATAATTGTATCATGCACTTCATTAAAATCTGATAGAGATAGGACTACTCACAATATGCCTATTCGAAATCCATGACAGTTTCCCTTCTGAAAATCGACATTTCTTCATGTATCTTTCTTCGATGCTAAATCGTATCTCAAAGCTCTCTTCCTGGTCGAGCCTGGAAAAATGAAGTCTATATCGAGAGAGATCAACTCTCACTCCTTCTGGTTCAACAATCTTTGCTAAATACACTGCATGAGCCTCTCCTACATTTCTTACAGTTCGAGTTACAGTTTTCATTGAGACTGCTCTTAAAGAGACCGATATAGAAGGATAATTCAGTTGTTCAGGATCAAGGGACGAGTTGCAGTGAAATGAACTCCGATGAACATTATAATTCAAGCCACAGAGATAAGAAATGTAATCATTATAACGAATATCATAAACAAGACCAGGATCCATAGCTCCTAAAGGATTCACAATTCCTGCGCCCATAGCGAAAATGTCTGCAGATTTGTTATAAGATGATTCATCAAATATTCGGTTGCCATGAAGATCTATGTCACGTGCTGATGTTATGATCGCTGATTTTATCGCAGCTGGCGACCATCGCGGATATTTGTTCTTGATCAATGCTATAATGCCTGAAACATGAGCTGCAGCCATCGAGGTGCCACTCTGGAAGTTAAATGATGTAGAAGCTATACTTTTCGTGGAATATGCTGATAGAATGTTCACACCTGGTGCAGTGATATCGGGCTTCAGAATGCCTGCATTCATCAAGCTCGGGCCTCTTGATGAAAACGATGCAACTGAAGGCGATGGATGAGAACCGAAAACAGTCCTTTTAAAGATCATTGAAGCCATAGGAGTAGAATTTGTGGATAAATAAACATAAGATCGTATTTTTCTTCCATCGATGTAGCTAATATGTGATGCTGCAAGACTGTGCACTTCGGCGGATACAGTGAACCCTTGGCTTTGACGGTTCATGATTATCATTCCGGCTCCTCCTGCATCCTTAACAACATCACCCTTTTCGGTATTATTTGTTCCTTCATTGTGACACAAAACGATTTTCCCTCTGACGTCAATATCATCTAACGATCCTCTATAACAATTCAAACTTGCGACATCTCCGTCGATACCTGGAAACACGATAGGCAAGAGGTTTGAACTGATAATTCCACTCGGTTGGAATGCTGATTCTCCGTTCAATATCATTCCATTTCCGAGCTTTACAGTCACTCTAATCCTTCTATCAGTCGAGGTTGCTCCGACAGTAAGAATCCACGGTGCTTCATGGCTCACTGTGCTTTTCCTCGGTCCAATATTGCCCGCTGAAGCGCAAACCATGATCCCTTTCTCCACTGCTGCCAATGAAGCTATTGCGATACTGTCTCGATAAACATCATTAGGCAATCCACCGAAAGGCATCAACATCACATCGACACCATCACGAATCGCCTGATCAATGCCAGCAATCACATCACCCTCATCACATCCACCTCTATCGCACACTTTATATATCGCCAGGTGAGATTTTGGCGCGACTCCAGACGCCAATCCCTTTGCCATTCCGAGAACCTCAGCATCCTCGACAAAATTTCCCGCAGCAATACCCGCAACATGGGTCCCGTGCCCTTCAGCATCAAGAACCAGCTGTTTTTCCCCTCCAGAAAATGCGCCTGCACCAATTATTTTATTGTTGCAATAAGCGAAATAACATCGACCCCTCCATCGAATTGGCGGTGCATGCCATAATCATTAAAAGAACGATGTGTGTCTACGATACCCGTGTCAAGAACGCCAATAACTGTCCCTTCGCCATACAATGACTCACCCCATGTCGGGCTCCAGTCACTCAATCCTAAGAACTGAGGAGTGTATGTAGTGTGGAGCTGCAATGTTCGGCTTAATTGTGCGTGAGCGAATCCATTCATCGACTCCATAGCTCTCACTTCTTCGAGAGTGAGTTTCGCAGTGAAGCCAGTGATGGAGTGACGATAAGAGTGGAGGAGACGAGGTTCGCCAGAGTCGAGTGTAGAGTTTGGGAGGAAGGATGTGTGCCATTGGACTAGATTTTTGGTGGTGTTGGGTTTGTGTAGATGAACAATGTAGGTTTGGAGTTGGTCTTTGATGATGGGGAGGGGATTGCCATTGATGAGAAGAGATTGGAGATTGAAGAAGAGGAAGAGGAAGAGGAAGAGATTGTGAGGTTCCATGAGAAAGGAAATGAGAGGAACGTGGGTTACTGATTTGTTACTTGGGATTCTTGGAGGTGAGAATTCAGTACAGTGCAATATGAAACTCATGGGCTGAAGAGTTGTGTGCATGTGTCAAGTGTGATTCCTTAAGGTTATAAATTTGAAAATAAACTTATGATCCTTTTAAGAAGAAATAAATCAAGAAGTACTGTATGTCTCCAATAAATATATTGGATTTGAATTATCTAATTTGAACATTTTGCATGGGATTCTTTGACTCCATAATTTCATATTGAGCTTATACTGATATCAAATAATATTTTCAATAATTTTCTAGGATGCACTGGTTTCATATTGTGCTCAACTGCATGATTTCGCGTGATGCTTTTGCAACATCCAAAAATGACATAAAATTAGATACCTCAATTCCATTTTAAGAAAAGAAAATACAAACAATTTTGTACCCATTATAACTGAAAGTAACTGTAAACAGACTATACAGCCCGTGTATTACCTAAAGTAACCTGTTAAATATATCAGACATAAAATCAATGCTATTTTTAGTCAATGTAATCCCTTTAGAGCCAACTAGATCATCAATGTTGAATCTCTCCATACAGCCTTTCCGCCTAAATCGGACACAGTTAAATCTTCGTAAAAAATCAAAGTTCTGTCGGTAAAATTGTCTCAAATTAGGCTCAGCTGGTAATTTACAGACCCTCCAACTGAATCTCATCAGGATTTTGTTGCCATTCCTTTATAAAAGTTGGGATTTTTTTTTCAAATATCAATGAAAATTAAATTATCAGAAGAAACATCTCTCTCTTTCTTCATTAAAAAAAATATGCTGCATTCGTCAAGGCTGAGTTTGAGGAAAACAAGAGAGAAATTGAGAATTACATCTAAGAAGAAAGAGGTGTCAAGAAGCGACGATGAACTCTCATATGACACTAAAGAGAGAGTCGCTGCAGCGAAGAAATACATAGAGAATCATTACAAAGACAAGATGAAGCATTTGAAACAACGTCAAGAACGGTAAGGATTTCGCTTTTTTTTTTTGGAAAAGAACAAAGAAGAAGATAATCTTTTTGGTGAATTTTGATGTATGTTGTGTTTTTTGAGCAGGAGATGGATTCTTGAGAGAGAATTGCAGGAGTCGGACGTTTCTGAGGAGCAACAAATGAATCTTATGAAGCAATTGGAGCAAAAGGAGACTGAGTATATGAGACTTCAAAGGAATAAAATGGGTGTTGATGACTTCGAATTATTGACCATGATCGGAAAAGGCGCATTTGGCGAGGTAGATTTTCTTAACAAGGATTTGCAAAAAATTAAAAGAACAATAGCGATTCCCCAAATTCTTCTACATTAAAAGAATCGAAAATAACCAAAGTTATCCTGCAGGTTAGAGTTTGTAGAGAAAAAGCAACAGGCAATATTTATGCAATGAAAAAGCTAAATAAAACAGAAATGTTGCGTCGGGGTCAGGTATATCATCTAATTTTTTCCCCCCTTGCATTTTAGTTGTCTCTTTGTTTTCAGTATGTACATTCGTGACGCGTCATTTTTTGCGTTAGGTTGAGCATGTTAAGGCTGAGAGAGATGTTCTAGCTCAAGTTAACAGCAATTATATCGTCAAACTCTATTCTTCGTTCCAAGACAAAGATTTCCTGTACCTTATCATGGAGTATTTACCGGGTGGTGATCTAATGACTTTGCTCATGAAAAAGGATATATTGACCGAGGATGAGGCTAGATTTTACATCGCGGAGGCAGTTCTTGGCATTGAAGCTATACACAAAAGCAATTATGCCCACAGGTCGGTGTACGTTTGTTCGAAAATTTTCATTTATCTTTGATTTTGTCAATGTTTTTGATGTACTGACCTGGCCTTGTGTTGTGAAAATTTACAGAGATATCAAGCCAGATAACATGTTACTAGGCAGAAATGGACACGTCAAGCTTTCAGATTTTGGATTGTGCAAGAACTTGGATTGCAGTAATGAAAGGGATGATGGCATTATGCGAACAGTGAACTGTGAGGGGTTTTTTCAGGCTGATGTGCAGCAGTTTACGGAGACAAACGCACAAGCCAAACATTTAGGGCTTTGGAGAAAGAATCGGCGAACTTTGGTAAGTTTCGTAGAATCATCTTTGTGCACTACGCAAATATGTAGGGGTAAATTGCAAACCCCATCACCCATCATCTTTGTGCACCATGCAAATAATCTATAGGGTAAATATTCAAAACCGCCGACACCTCCGCCCCCCCCCCCCCCCCACACCAAAACAAAAAACAAAAAAATTGTCAGATACCCCATATCTAATACCGTGTGTTTCTACTGTGGCATGTAAGAAGCCAAGTTTAAGTGCAATTACGAAAATGGCCTTGATGGGGGGGGGGGGGGGTGGAGAAACTTCTTTCATGTCCTAATAATGTTATAAAGGTGATTTTGACAACCCCTTAAGTTTGGTCCAAGTTTGATCCAATTTGGCCAAAATGCCCACTGATTAGTTAATTTAATTTAATAGTTGGAGCATTAATTTGAAAATGGTACTTTGGTCTTTTTACCAACATCTAAGGAAGCATATTTGTTGATTGAAATGTCGGTGCCTAAAATTTTCAGGCTTATTCAACTGTCGGTACCCCTGACTATATTGCACCCGAAGTTTTATCAAAGAAGGGGTATGGAATGGAATGTGATTGGTAAGTACTGTTTATGGTATTTTTAAAAATTTATCCCTAGAATTTACACATTTATCGGAAAACTTTTATTTTCTACCTTTTTTCAGGTGGTCACTTGGAGCTATTATGTATGAAATGCTTATGGGTTATCCTCCATTTCAGTCTAAGGAAGCTCTCTCAACATGCAGAAAGGTAAGTATATTATTGGCCTATTAATAACTGGCTAGTATATATGATTATTTTTTCGGTTTCCTAATTTTCAAATTAATATAGGTAGTAAATTGGCGATCACATTTGAAATTTCCCCAAGACTTGACAATATCTGAGGAAGCTAAAGACCTTATTCAAAGACTGTTGTGTGACGTTGAGCGTAGGATTGGCACAGGAAATGTTGAGGAAATAAAGGTTCGTCAATGTACTTGAAAAAAAAAAGGTCTATTTGACAAATATATGCGTTTTCTAAATATTTCGTTCATTTTAGGCTCATCCTTGGTTTGAAGGCATTCAATGGGATAAATTGTATCAGATAGAGGCTGTTTATATACCTGAAGTCAATCATGAATTGGATACCCGAAACTTTGATAAATTCGATGAGGTATGCTAAATTTTTATCAGGCTTTCTTCTTTAATTGTATGAAGCTCTTATAACATATACCCATGTTTTTCAATACAGGCGCGATTAGAGAATGAGAAACAAATTCCATTAAAACCAGCACTAGGAGACAAGGTAAATAATATTGTTCTGTAAATAAAGCTGGTTATTTTATCTCTACAGTTATTAGCCAAAAATTATCATGTTGCAGACAATTTCTTCGAAAGACCTAAAATTTGTGGGTTACACATTCAAAAATTTTGAAATCGTCAACAATCATGGACAACATCAAAAAGGTATTTCTTTCTCTTTGATATAAAGTCAGAATAAATTTATTTTTTTATAGTTTAACCCTGAAAGAACTTAGATACTCATAGCATATTTGATCTATAACTAGCCATTCATCTTCAAATCTTATTGCAGCAGAATCGACGAAAAAGAAGAAAAAGGTCCCTTCTGTTAAATCTATCTTCAGTAAGTACAATTTCTTTTATGATGAAGTTGACGATTTACTAACCTTAGCTAAAAAAAGATTACTGAGATTTCTCTTGTTTAAAAATCTTCAGACACAAGTGATGCATCTAAAATGAGCTCATCGAATCTCTTCACTACTCAACTGAAGTACAAGGAGCCTCACTTATTTATCAATTGATGATCAAGGAGAATTCACTATCACAAACACCTCCCATTTGAGGAAGAAAGATATGCAAGAGTTTTAATTTGCATTATTGCCCAAAAAATTGGACATCGTTTTTGTTAATACTCACCATGGGGTAAATATGTATGGTGATGTAAATTGATTGCTGTTTCTCAAAACAAAAGAAAATCCGTAAATGGTTTGTACATAATTTGATTAGCTTGAGCTGTCTCAAACTTTGCAACCTCACTGTTTTATTTGCATTGTTGGCTTAAGAAAGATGCAAAATCAAAGAGAACTTCTAATATATTTATGCAAGAAAAATAAATTGATGGCACATAATTTTTTTCCATCATTTCTCCATTTGGATTGTAGTTCTTTGACTCAACTACTAGATTTGCAATTGTTGTGATAATGATGATTTTAAATAATTCAACTCTCATTAACAAAAATAACTTTTTAACTCTAATAGCGAATTGACAACTTAATAAAACCCACTACTTGGATCGCAAATGGCTTGAATACTTAATTATATGCTTTATTGAAGAGATTCTGACCATTTCCCGTAGCTTAGATTGAAAATTATTTGCTCATTGCTGAAAATTTTGAAGCTAAAACAACACAAATAACACTGTCGTGTGTAATTGACAATGACTGTGACAACATGCCATACTATAATGCATATAAATCTTTCATCATGTCTCATGCTCATCATAGAATATTGGCATTTATTTTGATTGTTATGTGGTCCATTATTAATACAGTTACGTGTTTGAACTTATAATTCTAGCAGGAGTAGTAAAAAGAAGTGATTGTTATGTCTATGACTCAGATCCTCTTTAATTAGATGGTAATTAGAGAGTGTCCAATTCCTCCAATCAAATCTAATTCCTCCAATCATTATTCCTCATTCCGAATTTAAGGAACGAGATTAGGTTACGCAGGATTCAATATTATGATAGTGGTTTTCAAAGAACAGCAGCTCCAATACTGTACCAGTTATAGACAATAATGAAATCCTGCATTGCCTAATCTTGTCCCTTGAATTCGGGATATATAACATTGATTGGTTGTTGGGAGCGAGGGAACGCCCACACCGCTGCGGAAGCTAAATCAATCCCGAGAGAAAACAACCCTAGCTTAAGTTTACGCCAAACTCAAACCAACCAAAGCTAAATCAATCCCGAGAGAAAACAACCCTAGCTTAAGTTTACGCCAAACTCAAACCAACCAATACAAGCAATAGCGAATACACAGATAAAACAAACCCTAGCTTAAGTTTACGCCAAACTCAAACCAACCAATACAAGCAATAGCGAATACACAGATAAAACAATAAGTAAATGAGACGAGACAACATATTTACGTGGTTCGGTAAGCTTGCCTACCTCCGCTGGAGCCGCACAATTAATTTCATATTTAACCACAAGAAATTACAAAACTTGCTAAGAGAAGATCTCAAACTTGAGATCTCTCTACAGCATCGCTTGTGATTTATTCAACTGAATAAATCACAACTCAATCTCAATTTTCTTGACCGAAAATTACTCCTTAAAATCCTTGAGAAGAGTCGCCGCCACAGAGAGAAAAAATCCTCTCTGTTAAAATCGCACGAGAGAGAGAGAGAGAGCTAAGAGGGAACTCGTGAATAGGGTTTCCCTTTTATAGGGAAACCCTAGATCTTCAGGCGAGCTCCATGCTAGCTTGACTACAGCTGGCTTCCACCACGCAAGCGACAGGCGAGCTCCGCATCGGGTGAGCTCGATCTCCTCCACGCCCGCAATCCAGAAGGCGAGCTCTCTCCCCGCCTCTCTACGCGTAGGCGAGCTTCCTCGCCCTCGCCTCGCAGCAGGCAAGCTTCCCCGCCATCGATCTTCAGGCGAGCTCCTTCGAATCAAGGTTAGTTCTCTTTAATTCTTCACCTCGTTCATCATTTGATAAACCTCAAATTTTGGACGAACACCAGAAGAACACCGTAAACGCTAACTAGGCTAAAACCAGGCCAAACCAGTTGCACCATTATACCATGGTTGCCTACGTACCCTCTGATCGGGATCAAGCTAATCGTAGTTCTGCACATTGCCGTCTTGGGCAGATCAACACGGGTTGATATTAAGCAAGTCCAAGCAATACTGAAACTTGCTACCTGTCACCACCTTAGTTAACATGTCTGATGGGTTCTTAGTTGTGTGCACCTTCATGAGAAAAATATCATCTTCCTCAATGACATCCCGCACAAAATGGTATCTGACGTCAATATGCTTGGTACAAGCATGGTGAACTTGATTCTTAGTCAAATGAATTGCACTCTGACTATCACACCATAAATTCACGCAATCCCGCTCAATCCCTAAATCATCTAACAGACCCCACAACCACGGTGCTTCCTTCACTCTTTCTGTCATGGCCATGTACTCAGCCTCTGTAGTAGAAAGTGCTACTATAGCCTGTAACACCGATCACCAACTAACTAGAGTACCATGTATACTGAATACATAACCAGTAGTAAATCAATGTCTGTTTAGATCGCCCGCATAATCTGAATCCATAAATCCATCAATCTGACATGTATCTTTACTAAAACACAGACCTGTTTTAGCGGTACCCTTCAAGTACCTCAGGACCCATTTCACCGCTTCCCAATGTGTCTTTCCCGGATTCGCCATGAACCTACTGACAACACTAAGCTCCTGTGAAATATCTGGATGTGTACACACCATTGCGTACATCAAACTGCTAACTGCACTAGCATAAGGTACACGCCCCATATGTGCCTTCTCTTTCGCTGTAGTGGAAGATTGTTTACCTGAGAGTCTGAAGTGCGGAGCCAATGGAGTCACCACCGACTTAGCACTTTGTATCCCAAACCTTACGATAACCCGCTCAATATAGCCTTTCTGACTCAAGAACGATCACCAATTTATCCTCTCTCTTCTAATCTCCATTTCCAGTATTTTCTTAGCAGTGTCCATGTCCTTCATCTCGAACTTTGTACCAAGTTCAGATTTCAGCCTATATATCTCCATCTTGCTTCTCGAAGAAATAAGTATGTCATCCACATACAAATCAGCCTATCTATCTCCATCTTGCTTCTCGAAGCAATAAGTATGTCATCCACATACAAAATAAGATAGATATAATCACCTCCATGAAGCTTCCGAATATAGACACAACAGTCATAATCACTTCTGGAGAACCCATGCTTTAGCATGAAGGAGTCAAATCACTTATACTACTGCCGAGTAGATTGTTTCAATCCATAAAGTGATTTCCTCAAGCGACATATCTGACGCTCTTTATCCTCAACCTTGTAACCCTCAGGCTGATGCATATAGATTTCCTCATCCAAGTCTTCGTACAAGAAGGCTGTTTTGACATCAAGTTGTTCCAGCTCAAGATCACCATGAGCAACAATACTCAATAGCACCCGAATAGAAGTGTGTTTTACCACCAAAGAAAATATCTCATTGTAATCAACACCCTCTATTTGTGCAAACCCCTTAGCCACTAGCCTAGCCTTGTACCTTATACCGCCGAGTTCGGAAGGATCCTCCTTTCTCTTGTACACTCACTTACAACCAATAGATTTCTTCCCTACGGGCAATGGGACCACCTCCTATGTTTGGTTCTTCCGGAGAGATTCCATCTCTTCCTCCATCGCAGCCAACCAACTCTCATTATCCATGTCCCGAATAGCTTCTTTAAAGGTGACCGACTCAGCATCCTCCATCGAGAGTGCGTACTCAACCAAATTTACCTACTCATAGTGCTTCAGAGACTGATCTGACCCTAGCTTCTGAACCTTCTTGTATGCTCGTCTTGGCCTAGTGGAAGCCAAACTATCTTCGAGCTGCTGTTGTTATAATACTTGTACATTTTCTTGCTGAACCTCCTCCTATTCAAGCTCATCATCTTCATGATCCTCCTCTTGAACATGACTAGAACCTGGTTGGTCTTTAGGTTCTATTTCAATCACCTGGGACTTTAAAGTCCCAACAGTCCCAACACCATCGTTCTTAGATGCCCTGAAAATCATGGATTTCTCATCAAATGTAACATCTCTGCTGATCATGAACTTGAAATCTTCTGTATACCAAAGGCGATAGCCTTTTACATCCTTTACATACCCCAAGAATATTGCCTTCTTGGCCCTCGCGTCAAGTTTTCCTCGACGTGATAGTAGGCGGTACATTCGAAAATCCTAAGCCTATCATAATCTGCATGCTCCCCTGACCATACCCGATAAGATACATCACCATACAATGTCGAATGTGAAGAACGGTTCACTATGTAACAAGTTGTAGCAACCACTTCTGCCCACCATTCTTTGCCCAAACCAGCATGTGATCGCATAATCATTGCTTTCTCCCATAATATACGGTTCAGTCTCTCTACGACTCCATTCTGCTGTGGTATGGACCTGACTGTCCAGTGTCGAGCAATACCCTCCTGATCACAGAACTCCTTTAAAAGACCCTCTATATATTATGTACCATTATCAGATCTTAGTGTCTTCAATTTATTGCCTATCCTCTTCTCAATCATTGTTTTTCACTTCTTGAATATCTCGAATATTTTATTCTTATGCTTAAGAAAATAAATCCAAGCATACCTAGAATAATCGTCTATAAACGAGACAAAATACCTGATACCACCCTTGAAAGTTGTTTGAGCCGGACCCCAAACATCTGTATACACATAGTCTAATATACCTCTGCTCTTGTGCTTGCTTCTCAGAAAATAAACTCTGTGCGCCTTTTAGTACACACAATCCTCATAAAAATCCATGCAAGATTTCTTTATGTTCTTCAGCAAACCTTCCTTACCAAGCAGATGTAGACCCTTCTCTGACATGTGCCCAAGCCGTCTATGCCATAACCGAGTGTGCTCACATGGGTCTCCACTACTTCCATCAGTTCCAACTGCTTCATCTCCTGTCACTGTTGTACCCAAGAGAGTATATAGATTACCGTGACGAATACCCTTCATCACTACTAATAAACCCTAAACAACTTTCTTTACTCTGTTCCCTATAACAATCCTGCAACCACCGTAGTCTAATGCACCAA